CACTTGAGCCACAGCACCACTTCCGGTTTTCTGAGTGGCTTATTGGAGATAGGAGTCTCACAGAGTTTCCTGCCCAGGCTGGCTTTGAACTGCGATCCTCAGATCTCAGCCTTCTTAGTAGCTAGGATTACAGGCATGAGCTAGCAATGCCCAGCTCATCCTGTATCCTTATTTCAGCATTTTGTTATTTCCCTTACCCTCCTCAAATTAGAAAAATGTATATACTAGATTCAGGGCACCGGAATCAAGTACAGTGAAAGCAGGGGTTATACCATGGGGGAAGAACACACAAAAGAAACAAAAAAAAATCACATAGTATAGTATAAGTACATTAAAAAAAGAACAGCAACAAAGAAAACCTCTTGTGTCCCTATCTTGGGGTTCATTTCATTTAGCATCAGGTTATATGGTCATATGGTCATATGTACATAGCTTTTGACCTCTTCTGCTTGTCCTAGACATATACTAGTTATTGTAGATAAGGGAAACCATGGACCTACATTTCTTTCTTTCTCTCTTTTTTTGTCGGTCGTGAGGCTTGAACTCTGGGATGCTTCACTTAATGTAATTTTTTTCCAAGTCTTTCCATTTCCTAACAAATGGGGTAGCATCATTCTTTCTGATGGAGGCATAGAATCCAACATATATATATATATATATATATAGAGAGAGAGAGAGAGAGAGAGAGAGAGAGAGAGAGAGACCATATTTTCTTTTCTTTTTTTTTTGAGACTACATTCTCTTGATCCATTCATCTACTGAAGGGCATCTGGTTCCATATCTTAGCTATGGTAAATAATGCAGCAATATACATGGTTGTTCTGGTAGCTTTAGTATGGCCTTGTTTGTGATCATTTGGGTAAATGCCTAAAAGTGGGATTGCTGGGTCATAGGGAAGTTCTATGTGGAGTCTTTTGAGGAACCTCCATAGTGCTTTCCAAAGTGGTTGAACAAGTTTACACTCTCACCAACAGTGCAGTGGGATTCCTTTTTTGACAACATCCCCTCCAGCATTTGTTTTATTAGATTTCTTGATTACAGCTATTTTAACTGGGGTGAGTGGAATCTCAATGTTGTTTTGATCTGCATTTCTTTTATGGCTAGAGAAGTTAAGCATTTCTTCATGTATCTATTGGCCATTCTTATTTCCTCTTCAGAGAAGTCTCACTTTAAGTATTTAGCCTACTTATTAATTGGGCAGTTGTATCTTTGAGGATTTGTTGTTGAGGGATTTATTTTTTTGAGTTCTAAGAATATTTTAGATATGAGCTCCTTGTCCATTGTATGGCTAGTGAAGATCTTCTCCCAATCCATGGGCTTTCTATCAATCTTGCTAACTATGTCCTTTGCCATGCAGAAGCTCTGCAGTTTCATGGAATCCCATTTGTCCAACCTTTCTTTGACTTGTTGTGTTTCTAGGTCTTCATTAAGAAAATTTCAGTCTGTGCCGAGGAGCCTTAGAATTTCTCCTGTTCCTTCCTGTAATATTTTCAGGGTGTCTGCTTTGACTTCGAGATTTTGATCCATTTGGAGTCGATTCTGGTGCAGGGTGATATATAAGGATCTATCTTTAGTTTTCTACAGGTGTTTAACCAATTTTGCCAGCACCATTTACTGAAAAGGCTTTCTTCCATTCTATTTTTTTAGCTCCCTTATCGAAGATTAGGTGGCTATAAATCTGTGGATTCATTTCTGGGTCTTCAGTTCTATTCCATTAAATGGTATATTTTTTGTAGCATAAATTAGTCACCAAGTTCTACTACTTCCATTTCCACAGGTACATTTCCCATCTCTCTCTGCTTGTTTCCCACATCAGCAGGCTACCGGGTCTGACAGTACTCTACACACTTTCCCTCTACACACTTTCCACCTATCACTTTCCTTTCTAGAATACCTGACAGCTTTGTCTCCACCCTGCTTGAATACGCTCAGTGGTTCCCCCTTGCACACAGACTAAAATCACTGCTTCTTTCCTTGGCATCTCACCCCCTTTACTGTCTGATCTCAATTTGATCGTCTTACACCATCCTCACATGGTGCCAGGTTACTTGTTCCTTGGGAATAGATGCATATTATACCTTCTTGTTTTCCTATACAGATTTCCAAGCCTGCAAAGCCTGGGAAATCCTGTATCTGTTAGAGAATAGTCTCTTCATTTTGTCCTCATTTTTCTCATTTAGCCCCCACAAAACAACCTGATGAGGTACATTCTATTTCCACTTGCTGTTGGAGAAACTGAAACTTGGACAGGTCATGTGATTTCCCCAAGATGGCACTCTAGCTGTCATTCAGTTGGTGGAGACCCATGTTCAGCTATCTACCATGTTTTGTGGCAGCCACCTGTCTTTCAAGTCCCATCTTTTTTTTTTTAAATCGCTCTTTTTTTTCTGTTCAAGGGGCTTGAACTCTGGGCCTGGACACTGTCCCTCAGCTCTTCAGCTCAAGGCAAGCACTCTACCCTTGAGCCACAACACCACTTCTGGTTTTCTGAGTGGTTTATTGGAGATAAGAGTCTCATGGCATTTCCTGCCCCAACTGGCTTTGAACCCCAATCCTCAGATTCCAGCCTTCTGAGTAGCTAGGATTAGAGGTGTGAGCCACCACACCCAGCTTTGAGCCCCATCTTACATCTTAGAAATGTTTTATTTTGGTGTGACTCTTGTCATCCTAAGATGTGTTAAATAAAAATTGTATACTTGATCATTTGGGTGTGTTAGAAGGAAAATGACAGTTTTATATCTACTCTGTAACCTTAAAACAAAAGTCATTCTTTTTTTTACTTTAAAAAGTTATCCTTGGGGCTTGGAATGTGGCTTAGTGGTAGATTGTCTAGCATACATGAAGCTCTGGGTTCCATTCCTCAGTACCACATAAACAAGGCCAGAAGTGGTGCTGTGGCTCAAGTGGTAGAGTGCTCAGGGACAGTGCCCAGGCCCTGAGTTCAAGCCCCACAACTGGTAGATAGATAGATACAGATATAGATATAGATGTATATCTATAGATATATCTATCTTTAAGTACTTGTACAAAGGGGCTTTAATGCAGCATATCAGTTTGAGTACAATGGATATTGAGTGTTACACCTTCCATTGTTCTCTCCTATCTCTCCCAACCACAAATTCTTTCAACATATAAAAAATCACTAATTAATGGTAACTTAAATCACTTAAAAGAAATGCTATATAATAATCTACAGAGATCATCAGTCCCCTGACCCACCACCCTCTAGCCCTTTAATTTGGCCCCAAGTTGATAGCAGTGACTGCTACCAGCAGTCATTGCAAAGGAAATACCACAGTACTTTCACGCCCACTTCAGATGTGTCACAGATCATGATGGTGAATTGTGGGGTGGGGGTCTCTGTGGCTCACAGGACTTAGATGCAGCCAAAGACAAATGGTTATCATTTGGGGGAATTAGAAAATCCAAGGGCAGCAGTTTAGTATTCAGAATCAGGCACATACAGGCCTGATTTCTTCTCCCAGCTATAAGGAAGTTGTTTAGCTGTGACCCTCACTCTCCTACTCCTCATAGTGGAAATAATAGTTCATAGCACTAATGTGAGGACTATAAACAAACATATACAGTGCTCCACCTGACACAAAGCAGAAAGCATGCAAATGAAAATGAGACAAGTTCCAGAGCCTTCTCTACCTGTCTCTGCCCTGCCTAAATAAAGATCTGAACAAAGTTTTATAGGTTGAACCCTTATATGAGCTCAGCTATTTTAACATTACTCTTAAAACCTTTTTTTTAAACCACTCATATTGTAACAAAATAATCCAAGGCTTTACTGTCCACAATGATACTCAGAGCTTTAAGATATCTCTATATCACCTTGTACTGTGGTCTAGGCAAGATCAAATAATAAAAGTTAAACAGATAGTAATAAAATGCAACATTTGGTATTTGGATACTGTGAACTGGGTATTCATTACACACAGTAATAATCTTAGTGTTAGAGCAAAAACAACGTGTGTGGTCTTTACCAGTTGGTATTTTATTATAAAATCATGTACCACATGAATGAAGAGTGAGTTATTTTAATAACTAATAAGTATACTATAGATTTTTGTGGTGATGGGAGTGTCTCCCCAGGAGTGCTCAGAAGTAGAGGGAGAAGCATTCAGTTCAGTTAAAGTTCAGTTTAAGTTCATAATTAATCCTACTGACAGCTGTATCCAGTGTCTGAAATTTTGTTGTGCTTAAAATGCCCTAAATGAAAGACAGTCCATGTTAAGAGAGCCTTCATTAATTTAATATTCCTTCTGGTGTCTCATGATGTACTTATCTCCCTTGCTTTTACAGAGGTTTATGCCAAGCTTGTGAACAATAAGGTCATCCAGGCGAAGCCTGGCATAGTACATTTTGGAGGCTATCAAGTAGGAAAAAAGCACAAGCAGATTCTGGTAGGTGCTTTTGTTTTTGTCTGTTTAACTGTTTGGGGTTTTTGAGATAGTCATACTAGTAGCCTAGGCTGGCCTTGAACGCGCAACCTCCTGCCTCAAGCTCTCTGAGCGTCAAGATTATAGGCCTGGAACACCCCACCTGGTCCTCTGATGGGTACTTTGGAAGGGGGATAGTTAATCATGGTCATGAAATGAGATGTCTTTGCACTTAAAGTACTCATAAACAGATCAAGTTCTAGATCAGAAGCTTAAGAAAATCTAAAACTACATCAGTGTCCTTGGACACGTTTTCTTCCACTGTGTCAAAGGCTCCTCCCAATAGTCTATCTACTTTGCCCTATGGTGGGGCTGGGGACTGATCCAATTTGATCCTTATTGTAGCTCTGTGCAGTTTGTATCTCTTAGAGATGAAGGAGAAAGGATTCCAGCACATAGAGCACATACCGAGTGATCATGACAGAATTTGACTCTTGGGTTACCTCCCTCCAAACCACTCTGGTTTTACCACTCCCAGGAAAAGGGGTGTCGCTTTCTTAGGTGTTCTAACTCAGACCCTTTTAACCTGTTGGGATCAGATACCAATACCTGAATCAATCGTTCTGGTAAGAGAGGATTTGCAGAGATCTGCCAGGTAAAGGTAGCTCTTCTAAGCAGGATCTAGGATAGAAGAAAAAGTGGGACTTCAAGCAGCCAGGCTACAGGAGGTTTTCCGTAGAACTAGATGAAGGACCAGACCTGCCTGGGTCTTCTTCCCTGAACTGAATGCTGACCAGGCTGTCCCAAGCCTTTACATTAGCTCCCCTACCTCAGTGACCTCATGCAGTCTCCCAAAGTCACACTGGACAGTACATCCCAGAATTTCTCCATAATGGGCTCTGGATCTGAGCTACACTAGCATCTGAGCCAAGTTGGGGTGGGAAAGTCTTCACCTTGTGTGCATGCGTGCATACGCGCATGCGCGTGTTTGTCTGGAAGCTTAAACTTAGGGCCTTACACTCTTGCTTGGCTTTTGTGCTTAAGATTAGTGTGCTACCACTTGAGGCACACCTAAATTTCTGGCTTTTTGGTGATTAATTGGAGGTAAGAGTCTCTTAGATTTATCTACCTGGGCTTTGAATCTCAATCCTTATGTCTTAGGCTCCTGAGTAGCTAGGATTACAGACCTGGATAGCACTGGTTCCCAGCATCACATGGGCTTTTGAGATTGTCTTTGTGTGTAACAAGATATGTGTGTGTGTGTGTGTGTGTGTGTGTGTGTGTGTGTGTGTGTGTGTGATGCTCTTCTGACCCAGCCACTGTAAGACTGATGATTTTAAGAAAGTCTGATTCAGGATACTGAATCAGAGTCACTTTAGGACATTGACAAATGGTAAAACTATCAGGGAGTGAAGGACAGTTTCTATCAGGCCATCCTCAGTAAAGGGAACAGTGTCCACAAGGCCCTGCACATTGAAGTGGGTAGAGAGAAACAGCTCTTAGGAAGTTTTCATTCTTAGGAAGTGGATGAGGGTTTAAAAGTATGGTTAGGAAAATGTATATACAAGATGCAGAACACCAGAATCAAATACAGTGACATCAGGGGTTGTACTATGGGGGAAGAACATACAAAGAAACAAAAATATTACATAGTACATTATAAGTACATTAAAAAGAACCGCAACAAAGATAAAACCTCTTGTGTCCCTATCTTGAGGTTCATTTCATTTAGCATCAGGTTATATGGTCATACGTACATAGCTCTTGACCACTCACACAGGAAAGTATAAAAATGGAGTGTAGAAGAAAAGCCAGGTAGCATAGCCCACAAGCAAAATGAGATAAATTCAGGACACAGAGGAGGACATGGAAAGAGGTTCTAGGTGAGCAAACACGTAGTGAACTTGGAGGCCACTAGTTTGGGTGGGCTGTAGGACTTGGGGAAAGCTGGGAAGTGTGGCCTGGGATAAGGTCAACCTGAATGTAATTCAGATAGTAAAGGAAGTTAAGGATGAGTTTTTAAACAGAACAATGGTAGACTCAAGAACATTCAGTCAGTTTTGTGGAATTTTGCATATGGTTGAGGTTCACAACCTTTGTGTGTGAGCATGCGTGCACATGTGTGCACACACATGGGCATGTACACCCATCCTGAGGCTTGAACTGAGGCTTTGTGTGCTGTCCCTTAGCTTTTGTTTCAATGCTAACACTCTACTACTTGAGCCACAGATCCACTTCTGGCTTTTTGTTCATTAATTGGAGATAAGAGTCTCATAGCTTTTCTTGCTGGTTTGGCTTCAAACCTTGATCCTCAGATCTCAGCCTCTCGGGTAGCTAGGCCTACAAGTGTTGCCACCAGTGCCCAACTCAACCTTTTCTTCCATTGTTGTCCTTAAAGGAGACATTAATGAGAGGAATGAAACATGAAAGAATGCAATTTTCTGAGGTAGTTTTGAAGGTCCCACATCACTGTAATATTTGAGATTGTTTTGCCCTCTCAGAAATCAATTTTCAGTTCCCCTGTGAAGTCTTACTGGCCTTGAGAATGTTAGGGAAACCCAGGAAGGAGTATGACTTAGTTATTGAACAGAGATACAAAGCCTCTGTTCTGCCTCACTCTGCTGAGAACAAGCCAACTCTGCCGCTCATATCATTCCTTTGTACCTTGCACAATGTCTAACACACAGAAGGCACTCAACAAATACTTGTCAAAGAATCACACTGAACTTACTTGCCGAGACTGGACTAACTTGGTAGAGGCTTATGAGTGCCAAGTAATACAGTGTAAAGTCTAAATGGCCACACATTTCTATCAGGCATTAAAACAGAAATAGATAAATGTACACAATGACTTCATCGTAATAATATTCTAGGAAGTATTGAGAAAGCCAGTCTCCTATTTCTACCAACAAAGTTAAGGGGAAGCCCAAGGCTATTTCCTGGAAGTTCTTGCCAAACAAGGGGAAAAATACAACAACTCTGCTTTTATCTTGGTTTCACCACAGGAAACTATGTAAATTGCCCAGGGATGGGATGATTGAATGTGTGTTTAAAACTACAACAAACTGTTTATTAATGTTTGAAATTGATCCAGATCTTGCATTCATGTTGAAATCTGTGCTTCGATTTACTTTCAAATTTGAATGAATGCTCCTCCATTTTCTCAAAACAGAGACTCCTTACATTCTCCCTCTCCCTGCTGTGGAAAGATGTTGTCTGGGAAATTATATTTATTAAGTAAATAATCCATCAATTTTCCTAGAAGACAACCAGTGCTGTGTTGCCAGCTCAAATAAAATTGTTAGCCTTGTAAAGCCTTATTGTAAAAGAGTGAACATTTCCTTCTGGATTTGTAAAGCAATAATATTAGTTTTTAACTCCACCTTTCCCCACAGCAGGAGCTTGCTTCTCAAAACTAAGACCACGAATTTCGATGGCTCCTATGTAGACATGGAAGGGAGGGAGAATCAATACGACAAACATAAACACAGCTCCTGTTTCTTGGGTACCAATTTCTCTCTATTGAGAGGAATGCAGTATATGAGCAGAATGTATTTTAAGATAAAACATCTTCAAGATCATACAGAACTGCTGGAATTTGGCCCCAGATCCCTGAATAAAGACTTGACCTCCTCTAGAGAAGTTGGCAGCGACTGAATGGAAATCCCCCCCACCCCCACCCCTGCCCAGCTTGGAGGCTGAAAATGTTGTGTTTGGAAACATCCTGGGATAAATGCTTTGGAGTAAAGATTACACCCCACGCACACTAGACCAAGACTTCCTTGGAGGCAGACTCGTTTTTTTTCACTCCAGTCCAGAAGCATAGACCTGTATTTAGGCCCCAGGTTCAAACTCTAGGAGTTCCACATGTCAGGTCTAGCCATTCACCCCTATTGTAAAGGGCATAGAAAGGAGATTTATTACAGACCATGGGCAGCCATGGGAAGATAGTACTTCAGCTCATCTTCCACTATCTTCAATGTACGGACGTGAACTATTGGTGACATACACAAGGAACTGGAGACAGAGGTGAGAGGGAGATACCTAATGATAAAATCTGTTCAAAGTATGGTCTGGTTGATTATTGGTTTAGTCCTTGTTTGGGGAGGGGCTCCACAGAGGTTGTTACCACTGTCATCACTGATCAGGGTAAACAAGTCATCATTGCCTGCTGGATATTCTTTCCAGAAGTTCTACTGTTCCTTCCAGATGGTTTCAGTTACTTTTCACAAAGATGCATCCATCAGGCCTGTCCCTAGAACCTCAAATGATTCCAAAGGATCCGCAGAGAGAATGCCTTGAAAATACATAGAAAATGGAGGCAAAGATGCCAAGCTTATTTTCCTCTCCTTTGAGGTAATTTGTGGACCCAAATAAGGAATCATTGCTTTTCAGCAAAATCAGTACCTGTTACAAATCCTGCAATTGCATACGGAAGGGAATGTGAGGAGAATGAAGGAAGGGAAGTAAAGAGAGCCCTGATCTCTCTATCTTATCCCTGTAAATCCCAGGTCATGGTGAGGCATCTTGATGTGTGATTGGTGGGTGTTTGTTTGTTGTTTGTTTGTTTGTTTTTGGTGGAAAGAAGACATCCTGTACAACAGAAGAAAGACCTGAATCTCATTCATATTGTGGTCAATATGAGCCTCCCAAAGGATGCATCCTGGGGAACAGAGCCAGGGAAGGCTAGCTCCCAGGGGGTCAGGGATCCTGGACGATCCGAGAGTCCACTGGCACCCTGAAACAGAAGACAGGGTAAGATTGTAGGCAACTTTATCTTGCCTCAAGGGCAGTGCTGGGTTACTCGGGTTTTGTTATGTTTTCAAATATTAACTTAAAATCTACTTTCTTGTGATTTTTTTGCATTTTTAATAAGTTTTTTATTGTGAAAATACTGTACAAAGGGGTTACAGTTACATGAGCAAGGTCATGAGTACATTTCTTTTTTTAATTTTTTACTTTTTATTGTGAAAATATTGTACAGAGGGGTTACAATTACATGGCAAGATAATGAGTACATTTCTTATCAAGCATTGTAGCCTCCTCCTTTGTTTCCCCTTCCCATCCCTTCCCATCCTCCCCCCACCCCCCCACCTAATCCTCCTCCCCCCCACCAAAGTTGTAAAGTTCGTTTTCGACATAAGGACTTGTACATCTCATTGTTGCAACGGGTCCACCTGTATCCTTATTTAAACGACTCGTTTTACCCCTCTTGTGTTTTTAATAATGATTTCCCCCCTGGTTTTAGTTGTAAGTGGAAAGGCAAGAATACCATTTTATCCCTGGAAAGATATTATTTTTAACAACCTAAAAATAAAACCAATTTGCTAATACAGCATGAAAGGAAAGAAAGATGGTGCATAGTTTGGTCCCTGAGCTTCCCTGATGTAGGAGACAGTAAGAAGCAGTGGAAAAAGCCTGAGGCAAAGTCTAGACCCAGCCCTGCTTGGAGCAACACCACATCACTGTGTCTTCTACTAAATGGCCTCTCTGTTCTCAGGGGTTCAGACAACACAATCTTTAATACGACAAAAACATGGCTAATTATAGCAAACCATGGGTATTTGCAACTCACAGCAGAGAACTGAAACATGAATAGAATCTCTAGTTTTTACAGTGTGTTTGGGAGTCAGTTTGTTAAGCATTGTTAGTGTTCCAAGTTCATTAATAAAGCTTTCTGGGCACCAGGGTTGTTGTTTTTTTCTTTTTTTGTCTCAGTGTCCTTGTCCAAGCCCAAGTGCAGAAGCACATATCTGTACTCTCAGCAACTAAGGAGGCTGAAGCAGGAGAGTTCAAGATCAGCTGGGCAACATAGACTGCCTCAAAAAAGGGGGAGGGGGAGAAGAGGTAGGAAGAGGAGGAGGAGAAGGAAGAAAAAGGAGGAGGAGGATGAGAAGTAAAAGAAGTCATTGTTTGCAGAATTTTTCTTCCCCTACCATCACTAAAGTCCAGTCACAGCCTTTACTGTCATCTACCATGTGGAATTGTGTGCCCAGCCCTTTAGTCTTGCATACTCTATTTTCCATCAGATTTTCAGTTGAAGTTAAGGACCTAAGAGAGTTTGAGTCCTCTGAATGTTAATGGGGGGCAGGGGGCTTGAGTTCAGGGCCTTGTTCTCTCACTTGGCTTTTCCCCCTCAAAGCTGGCGCTCTAACACTTGGACCACACTTCAGCTTCCAGATTTTTGCTGGTTTGGGCCTGGGAAGATGGCTCAGTGGTAGAGCACTTGCCTTGCATGCCTGAGGCCCTGGGTTCGATTCCTCAGCACCACATAATCAGAAAAAAAAAAAGCCGGAAGTGGTGCTGTGGCTCAAGTAGTAGAGTGCTAGCCTTGAGTTGAAGAGTTGAGGGATAGCGCCCAGGCCCAGAGGTCAAGCCTCACGACCAGACCCAAAAACAAACAAACAAACAAACAGATTTTTGCTGGTTCATTGGTGATAAGAGTCTCTTGGACTTTTCTGCCTGGGATGGCTTTGAACTGAAATCCTAAAATCTGTCTCCTGAGTGGCTAGGGTTACAGGCATGAGTCACTGGCACCTGGCTAAATGTCATCCTGAAGGACATTGGGCATTTGAGCTCCAGATTCTTATATCCCTTCTGTTTGAGGGTCGAAATATCAGGATAATTATTTCCTGATAATCCCTGTATCCCCATGAGCCCTTCTCTAATCTAGAAGCCTAGCAACCCCCATCCGGTGAACATCACTGAAGTTCTCCGAGTACCACTCTAGATGTGGTATGGACCTAGATGAGGACCCTCAGCATCCACAAGGCAAAGAATGTCATTTTCTGTACTTCCAGGGTACAAACCAACACAAGTTCATACACCCTTGCTTAATGTCTTTGCTGGATTACTTGTAAGTAAATGGTGATGATAAAATCAGCTCTCCTTGGACACCTAGCTCAGGGCCTTTATGGTCATGTTCCCATGCTTATCTTTTTTGTCACATCTACCAGGTCTGGGCATCTGTCCAGAGGTGAGTCTCACAACCTAAGGCCCAGAGGATGATAGCCCAGTATACCTGTCTCCCTCTCTCTTGCAAGGACCACCCTATGGGAACCCCAGCCTTCACCTAGATTGTCTCTTCTGCTGGGCCTCTTAGAAGTCAAGAAATTCCTGGGGAGCTTTTATCTTTAGGCTTTCAGCATATTAAAAATAAAAGATAGCTCATAGCTATAATCCTAGCTACTCAGGAAGCTAAGATCTGAGGATGGAGGTTTACAGCCAGCCTGGGCAGGAAAGTCCATGAAACTCTTATCTACAATTAACCACCAAAAAGTCAGAAGTGGAATGGTAGAGAATTTGCCTTGAGGGAAAACAAAACAAAAACCTGAGGGCTAGTGCCCTGATCCCAAGTTCAAGCCTCAGCACTGGTACAAAAAACAATAACAACAAAAAAGTAGCAAAACAATGTTAAAATGGTTGTATTTTAAGAATGTTCCCATGTAAGAATAAGAACTTTTATCAATACCTCACTTCTGCTCCAACACCTCTATAACCTTATCAGGAGCTAAGGTCTGAAGTCTAACTTAGATTCCCCAGGAACACAGAGCCTTGGGCATGGGCCTTCTGGAGTAGCAATGTGGGTGGAGACTCTAGCCTATACTTTGTAAGCCAAAGGCCTCTTATTCCCCAGTTGGCCCACAGGAAGGCCAGATCCTCAGAACCCAAAGTTCTTGCTCTTCTCTTAAGCAGAAGAAACTGATTTATTTCATCAAGTTCAGCTAAGTTGACCCCCTTTAGTCCTACCTCACAGAACTGACCTGCTGCTGCCTGTCCGTAGGAAGTTGACCCAGCCATATAACTTTTCCTGATTCTCCTCCCAGCTCAGAGCCAGTAGCCTATAATTAGAGAACCCATGGGAATCGATGGCTGCCCTCTTAGTTCGGGCAACTCAGGATCAGAATTCAACAGAAAGCACAAACCTAACTATGTAGGACTAAGGAATATGGGAAGGACAAAAGGGGATTGGGAAGCTCTGGTACCATTCCCAAGAGGGGCACACTAGGCATATGGGCATATTTTCCTATTCTTAAATGATGTCTGATCTTTTGAAAAGTTAAAAATAAGTTTTCCCTGCCAGGCACTGATGGCTCATGCCTATGATCCTAGCTGACATCAGAAGCTCAAGGTTTGAAGCCAGCCTGAACAGGAAAGAATGTGAGACTCTTACTTCCAATTAACTACCAAAAAACACCCCAAAAACCTGCAAGTAGAGCTGTGGTTTCAGTGGTAGAGCACTAGTCTTGAGCAAAAAAAGCTCAGAGACAGTGCCCAGGCCATGCATTCAAGTCCTAGGACTGGCGCTCGCGCGCGCGCGTGCGCACACACACACACACACACACACACACTGTCTTCTCAAATCCTTTTAGAGGAGGAAACAAATGAGATGAATATGCATATAAATAAAACAATTTCTTGACTCTAAATGCATCTTTTTCTTACCCAGCACCTGGTCAATGTTTCTGACGAAGACACACACGTGCATATTTTACCCCCACAGACCAAATTCTTTCAAATCAGCTATGAGAAGAAGGTAAGTGTCTTTGGGTCATCCACTGCCGTTCCTATAGTGCTCTCTGCTGGGCTGTGCTTTTCTGTCTCTGGCTTGCTGGTTCCAACAGCATCCCACTTACCTTTCAGGAGCACCGCCTCGTCCCTGGCTTGTCTCTCATGATCACTATTACATTTTCTCCAAATGAGTGGCGATATTATTATGATTGCATCCGTGTTCACTGTAAGGTAAGTTTCTTAAAGTTGCTTTTTTTAAAAATTAAGATTGGGGGAGCGACCCATTTCCTCCCAGGAAGAAAGCAGAATGGGATTATGGGTCAGGGCTAATTCAGTCCACTGCCAGCTAGTCTCTAAGTAGCTTGTCTGACTGGTGTGGAAGGTACTGGAAGGCCGGTTGCATGCATCCTGACTGGGAAGGTGTTAGGCTGAAGGGAACCTGGGAGACTGCTGCAGGCCTCTCAGAGCCTATGCAAATCCTCCTCATTTCTCCTGTGTTTCTGGGCTTTCATGAAGGCTTTTGTCAAATAGCATCAATGTGCTCCTATAAGGGCCAAGCTAGAACAATAGCATCTGCACATACTGTGATTATAAACACTGGTGACCCCAGATATCAAGAAACACATCTTAAGAATATGACAAACGACTATTATGTTTTGGAGCTTCATTTTAAAAAATCTAAAAATAAAACTCGAATACTTTTTAGAAGAACTATTCAGTACCCAGCAGAAGAAAAGTTCCTAGAATAGGCACCATGTAGAGTAATAGGAACCATTTCCTGTCTCTGATATTCATGCTGATAATGTTGCTTTATATTCATGCAGTACTTTTCATTTTTTAAAAGCTGTAATCTTCTCTGTGTGTGTGCGTGTGTGTGTGTGTGTGTGTGTGTGTGTGTGTGTGTGTGTGTGTGTGATTGATTCAAGGGCTTGAACTCTGTGCTTTATAGTCTTATTCAGCTTTCTTGCTTATAGCTGGTGCTCTACTTGAGCCATGTCTCAAATTCAACGTTTTGTTAGCTAATTGGAGATAAAGTCTTACATACCTTACTGCATGGGTTAGCTTTGAACAGAGATCCTTCAGGTTTTAGCCTCCCAAGTATCTACATTTATAAGCCAGAGCCACCATGCCCAGCTCACTTTAATTCTTAAAGATGCCTTTGAGGGAAAGTATGATTATCACCACTTGGCAAAAAGAGAAACAAGACTGAAGAGGCTGAAGGTCTTGCTCAAGGTCATGTAATACGCAGAGCAGGAAATAGGTTTCTGCTGCTTCTTGCCAGCAAATGCTTACTATTCTGAGCTTTGTAGATCCAACAAATGCAGGCTAGTTTCTTTCTCTCTTAGATCACTAAAGAGTGTCTTCTATATAATTTTTAATAGAAGACAATAGTTTATCATCTCTAGCTTCCTTGGGTAATAGTGAACATTGTTTAAATGATACGTACTTAAATTTTTCTACACTTGGCTTATGGTGAAGACAACTCGGTATTTCTAATGTGATCTAAGCACTGAAGTTTCTTACAAAATTGACCAAAAACAACATCAGAAATATAGCATCTACAAGTTTCTCTTCAGAATTACAGTTTTCAGAACAACAAACTTAACTCTTTTTCACTCATTAATTTTAGGGAGATGACACCTTGCTTGTTCCTATCCATGCCTACCCTGTCATGAACAACCTGGACTTTCCCACATTTATAAATCTATCAAATGTCCTGCTTGGTGAGAGGTGAGTACTCAAAGTGAACCAGCAAAGTGTCATAGGATGTGACACGTTACGAAAGGCATAAAGACACGAACTTGTGTTTTTTTTCTAGTGGAAATTCACTGTTCCACTTGAATTGGACTGAATTACAGTTACAAAAGGTAAAACAACACAACACAAAACAAACCAAGTCAAAAATTCTATATACGCTGGGACATTTAACCAAATGGTACAGGGACTTCTTCAAGCACACTGGGCCTAGAGGTTAAAGTCAGTTTGCAGCAACCCGACTCTCTCCATGTCCAGGAATATTTTTATCTTGTGTTATTTTGAAAAAAAAATTAACAGTCTTCATCATGAAGCCAAGAGAATTAATGAAACTAGTTTGGAATCAAGAGTGACTGGAAGGCTGAGGAGGCTGGCAGGATTCAAGCAAAAGTCCAGGACTGAGTCTCATTGGACCAGCATGGGTCACATGCCCATCCACTAACCAATCTGCATTGAGGTAAAGGGAAGGTAAAGCCAAATTTCAGATTCTGACCTTTTTGCTTGGAAAATGGTTGATGATTTCAATTATATGTTAGTGTGTATCTCATTCTTTGAGGAAACACTCACGAAATGCCTATTACCAAGTATAGCACTATCTGTCTCTAGGTATGTGAGGGACATTGAAACTGAACAGCTGGATCCATATATATGGCCATATCAGTAGTTAAAATATTGAAAAACTCAGTCTGGGCTCTAGAGCAGGATCCTGTCTCAAAAAATTTCGAATTACATCTGTACTATTTATATTGTCCTGGGTTTCCCATCTCTGCATCCAAGGTTCTTGTGATTCATCAGATAAGGAGTTCAAACCAGCAGTTTAGGGGTGGGATAGAGGCATCCACAGAACCTGGCTCCAGCCCTAGCACCCCTCTGGCCAGTTGCTGTCTGGGAATTGCTGACTGGCTGGCATTTTCAACATCACCCAAGGTGAAAATACGACTAGACAGAGGCTATGGTCCTGAAGGTCTCTGAGTCCAGTGAGAACAGGGTCTGTTGTGAATTTACCATACCAGAAACTGAGACATACATAGGGTTTATGTGAACCAGAAGAGGAAGCACTCAGCCCTGACTTAGAAATCTGGAGTTCTCACTGTGCAGGAGGTGATATCTGGGTTGTACTGAGAGGATCTCATGAGCTATGAAGATCATCTACCAAACCATGAAGCAGCAGAACATCAAGCATGTCTTACAGGTGATGAAGGCCCTTGAAGGGTTTTAAGCCATCAGTAGCTGACAGGCACTAGATAGCTCCTTATACAAGCAGTAGTGTCAACAGGCTTATTAGGTCAAAAGCAGGGTAAGTGAGTTAAAGACAGCATTGTGGTGAGTGTTTTGCAAGACATTAAAAAAGAAATGCTGGGCTGGGAAGTTGGCTCGGTGGTAGAGTGCTTGCCTTGCATGCATGAGGCCCTGGGTTCGATTCTTCAGCACCACATAAGCAGAAAAAGCCAGAAGTGGGGCTGAGGCTTAAGTGGTAGAGCGCTAGCCTTGAGCTGAAGAGCTGATGGACAGTGCCCAGGCCCAGAGTTCAGGCCTCACGACCGGAAAAAAAAAATGTTGCAAAAAAAAAAGAAATGCTCTGGGCACCTGTGACTCATGCCTGTAATCCTAGGTACTCGGGAGACTGAGATCTGAAGTTATAGTTAAAAGCTAGACTAGGCAAAAAAAAAAGTTCATGAGCCTCTTATCTCCAATTAACCACTAAAAAGCTAGAAGTGGAGCTGTGGCTCAAGTGGTAGAACACTGGCCTTCAAAAAAAATAGTAAAGGACAGGTGCCCAGGCCCTGAGTTCAAGCCCCAATACCCACACAAAAAGAAAAAGTAATAAATAAAAAACAGACTCATTCAGTTTGAAAAAGAAGCAAATGAACCCTTTTGGTGTGGTAGAAGCTTATGACCAATGCATATTAGCTTGAAAGGCTACTTTTTTTGAGTACTACCTGTTGTCCTTGAGTGAAACTCCAGTTATACCTGGAGCAGATGTTTTGGCTGAGCTGACTTGCTGTTCTTTTCTTCTCTATCCACACACCTTTCTCAGTGTCTGATTCACCATTCCTGTTTGCTTTCATTCTAAAATGACTCCTAGGGTTGGGGGCATGGCTCAAATGGTAAAGTACTTGCCTAGTATGGGCCCTAAGTCCAGTTCTCAGTACCACCAATAACAAGAACAAACAAACACACACACACACACACACACACACACACACACACACACACACACCAGGTGCCACCAATGGCTCACACCTATAATCCTTAGCTACTTGGAAAAGCGGAGATTAAAATAATCATAGTTTGAATTTAGCCCAAGCAGACAAATTCTTATGAGCACTTCTGAACCCATAGCTGGGTATAGTGGCAAACTAGGTGTTTGGCTGAGACTGAGAGGATTGCAGTTCTAGAACTGTCTGGGTAGAGAAGCCCTCAAGACTTCATTTCTACAAAGAGAAGCTGCATGTGGTGGCCCATACTTGTCATCCTAGCAGCAATGTAAAGCTTAAAGTAAGTGGATCACTGCTGGGGTACATGCAGACCAGGAAACATGACCCTACTCAAAAAACTATCAGCAAGAAACAGGGCTTTAGGTGTGGCTCAGTGGTAGAGCACCAGTCTCATAAGTAAGAGGCCTTGAGTTCAAACCTTAGTACCACAAAAGAAAAAAAGGATTGTAAAGTGAATGAGAGTATACATTATCATTTTTACACTTTAAAGATAAGACATAGCTCCCCTGACAGCACAGTCTCTAGTCTGGCTAGTTTTTGAACTTTCCACAAATGGAATTATATAATGTGTGAGTTCTTGGTAACTTGCTCTTTTCAGACTACATTATATTTTTGTGGCTTGGCCACATACACTTGTAAAGTGTGGTTCACTGCTGTGTAGTGTCCTCTGTGTGAATTTATACTTCGTTTCCTCCCTACCACTGATGGATTGTGGCTTGTTCCTACTCACTGTTGCTATGACAACATTGCTCTTGTCCAAGGCCTCTGGGGCACAAGCTCTGGAATTACACACCCAGCCCTAGTGCGTGAGAGTTCTCATTTCCCTACATCATTGCTAACAATGGTATTATCAGCCTATCCCATTTTGTGTGAACTATATTTTTGGCCCCATGCCTTTTTGTGTTCTTATTTGTTTTCCCCAAAACATTTGAGCAGAACTCTTTCCCAGTAATTTCTCCCTTCCCCTCACAACATGTCCTGGGTTCACCATCTTCCCGTCCGATTTAACTGGTCTCTACAGGGACTCCAAGAATAGCAAAGATAACTCCCTCTTTGCAGGACCTGTTCGGCATGCATGGTGAGGCTACACAGTTGTTTCCTGCAAGTAGAAAATATAGAAGCGGCGAGGAATAATTTACTTCCTACTTCATTCATTCTTCTTTTTTTGGCCCACAAGTTACCTTTAGCTTGTGTCATAAGCCAGGATTATGAGCTGAGAAAAAATGGTTTATTAAACTGGAGGGAACAATACGCCTTGAAATACAGACATCAATCTTATATTTTTAAAACAAAAACCTGTCACGTCCTCAGGGCCCTTCCCCAAACTATTTTGTATATGGTGCCATTCATTTGTAATCAGCATGGAAATCTCAGTTAAACAGTTTATTTAACTGAGTTATTGTTTATAATGATATACTATTTTTATTTTTAAAAAAATCTTTCAAAAGATAAACGCACTACTTTTTTTTTTCCTCCAAACATTCTGGCAGCAGGCAATGCCTTCCCAAGATTTTATGCCCTTCACAGAGAGCAATATATAACTGTTCAAGCCTTCAATGCTTACTCAACCCCAGGCTGAGCTAGTACACTAGGTGAGTTCGTGAAAGGACTTCCACCTAAAATGTTCCCTATGAGTTCTGAGCCACCTGGGGGTTGAAGGTGTCATACGTGTGGGTTGTTTATTTATCATTCATTTTATTCACTCATTTATTGAATGCCTGACATGTAACCATCACAATGTTCTGTCTTAGTTTACCATTTTGTTGCTTTAACAAGCTACCTATGTCTGTGTGACTTATAAAGAACAGAAGTTTAGCTAGGCGCTGGTGGTCACCCCTGTAATCCTAGCTACTCAGGAGGCTGAGATCTAAGATCATGGTTCAAAAGCAGCCTGGGAAGTCTGTGAGACTTTTATCTCCAATTAACCACCAGAAAACCAGAAGTGGCACTGTGGCTCAAAGTGGTAAAGCTCCAGCTTTGAGCAAAAGAGCACAGGGACATGCCTAGGCCCTGAGTTCAAGCCCTACAACTAACCAAAAACAAAAACAAAAGAACAGTTTACTTTGGCTTATGGTTCTAGAGGTCAAAAATTAAGGCACCAGCAATGTGGAAGAAATGTAAGTCAAGGGAGCCCTTAGCTTAATCCACTTCCACGAAATGAGTTCAGTCCTCCAAGAGCAAGAATTCTCTAATGACCAAGAGAATTAACCCAGTCCCACAAAAGGTAGCAGTCTCTCACAAACAATCATGTCTTAAAAGCATCATCTCCTGACACCCCAACTCAAATTTCAAACTGAGTTTTGGAGGAAATGAACTAGATTCCAGCCACAGCAAGAACCAGGGGTATCAAGATGATTATGACCTGGTACCATGTCTAGATGGGCAGTTCTCTTCTAACTAGGTGTATTCTGGGACAGATATTCTACCCAGCTTGTGAGAGGTGAGCCAGTCGAGAGGAAGAGGGGAGTTCAAATAAGAGTTCTGGGATAATATGTCTGAGCTGAGTTTTCAGAATGTTTAAAGTGTAGCTAGCAAAGAAAGGTGTGGAGGAGAAGAAGACAGGGGATATTCTAGGCAGAGAAATAGGATAGGTCAAAGCTGGGTGTCGGTGGCTCATGCCTGTAATCTTAGCTACTCAGGAAGCTGAGATCTGAGGATCACGGTTCAAAGCCAGCCCTGGCAGAAAAGTCTGTGAGATTCTTATCTCCAATTAACCACCAGAAAACTGGAAGTGACGCTGTGGCTCAAGTGTTAGAG